ATTCAATGAAGCGCGGGTAAACGGCGGGAGTAACTATGACTCTCTTAGAGAACCTGTCCCGGGCTCCCCTAAAACCACAACAGCGTATTTATATGTTTAATAACCATCTTATTCCCAAATTGCAATACCGTTTAGTTTTGGGACGTTGGACGAGCAAACACCTCAAGACCATGGATCTGCAAACTCGAGCGGCTGTCCGTAGGTGGTTAAAGCTGCCCAGGGACACGCCCACGAGTTATTTTCATGCTGCGGTACAGGATGGGGGTCTGGGCATCCCATGCCTTAGAACTTCCATTCCTGTACTTACAACAAATCGGTTAAACTACCTACTGCAATCCGGCTCGGCGGCAGTCAGAGAGGCGATAAACACTGCCTCCTTCCGGAAACGAGTCCTGGACGGAACACGCGCGGGGATACCACAAAGATCATTATACATGGGTGTTGGACGGCCAAATAGTGGCTGACAATGCCAACGTCGATGCCGCCCATAGTAATAAAATTACCTATTACGATACCCCCGCCATCAGGAGTTGGGTCAACCAGACCTTCCCTGATTCTAGTGGCACCACCTTCTCCTCAATAACCCTTAACTGGAGGGGAGCATGGTGCCCTAAATCTGTCTCATCCCTTGGGGAGTTGGGTTTGACCAAAAGAGATTTAGCGTTAATATCTCTCCAGGTGCTTGAGTACACTCATTATGCCTATAGGGTATTTACGAAAAGCACAGAGCGTTTGGGACGTGGGGACCGCGGAGCCCGCGGGACAAGATGATGCATGGAAGGAAACAATCATGTGGATGTCCCGATGCCAGGGCTTCCGATGCCTAATTGGCTTCCAATTAGGCTATAAATTTAAGAGCACGTTTGTGATTCGGCACGGCACGATGATGAACCGTAGGTACCGAACCATATTCTGTTCGAAAATCTTAGTCTGAGTGCCGAATAAAAAATAAAATAAAAAAAAGCCAAATGCCTCGTCATCTAATTAGTGACGCGCATGAATGGATGAACGAGATTCCCACTGTCCCTACCTACTATCTAGCGAAACCACAGCCAAGGGAACGGGCTTGGCGGAATCAGCGGGGAAAGAAGACCCTGTTGAGCTTGACTCTAGTCTGGCACTGTGAAGAGACATGAGAGGTGTAGAATAAGTGGGAGGCTCCGGCCGCCGGTGAAATACCACTACTCTTATCGTTTCCTCACTTACCCGGTGAGGCGGGGAGGCGAGCCCCGAGGGGCTCTCGCTTCTGGTCGGAAGCGTCCGGGCGTCCGGGCGCGACCCGCTCCGAGGACAGTGACAGGTGGGGAGTTTGACTGGGGCGGTACACCTGTCACACCGTAACGCAGGTGTCCTAAGGCGAGCTCAGGGAGGACAGAAACCTCCCGTGGAGCAGAAGGGCAAAAGCTCGCTTGATCTTGATTTCCAGTACGAATACAGACCGCGAAAGCGGGGCCTCACGATCCTTCTGGCTTTTTGGGTTTGAAACAGGAGGTGTCAGAAAAGTTACCACAGGGATAACTGGCTTGTGGCGGCCGCCACCCGTTCTCCTTTGCCCTCCCTAGCTGCTCGGCCTTCGGTTTACGAACCCCCCCCCCACCCACGCCTTACGTTCGGAGAGAGAGTCTGAGAGAGAGAGACAGAGAGAGAGAGACAGAGAAAGACTGAGAGGGAGATAGAGTGAGAGGGAGACTGAGAGAGAGAGGGAGAGAGACTGAGAGACAGAGAGAGAGAGATTGAGAGAAATTGTATGAAAGAGAGAGTCCGAGGGAGAGAGAGAGAGAGAGAGAGGGAGACTAACAGAGAGAGAAAGAGAGAGACTGAGGCAGAGACTGAGTGAGAGAGAGAGACTGAGTGAGAGAGAGGGAGAGAGAGAGAGAGACTGATAGAGAGAGACTGAGAGGGAGACTCAGAGAGAGAAAGAGACTAATACAATGATATACTAATGTACAATACAGTAATATAGTAATACAATGATATACTAATGTATATAATATAGAAATGTAATGATATACTAATATACAATATAGTAATATAGTAATGTAATGATATACTAATATACAATACAGTAATCTAATAATATAAAACTTATAATAAGACAATATTAATATAATACTAATATAGTAATATACTAATAATACTAATATACTGATAAACTATTCATATAATAATATACTAATATACAATATAGTAATATAATAATATAAAACATAATAATATAATACTAATATAGTAATATGATATACTAATATACAATATAGTAATATAATAATATAAAACATAATAATATAGTACTAATATAGTAATGATATTCTAATATACGATATAGTAATATAATAATAAAGTACTAATATAATACTAATATAGTAATATGATATATACTAATATACAATATAGTAATATTATGATATACTAATATACAATATAGTACTATAATATACTGATAAACTAATAATATTATTATAATACACTAATATAATACTAATATAGTAATACACTATATATAAAATTGATTGGCTGTGCCGGAGCCGGTCCCTGAATGGCTGTGGGGGGGTGAGGGGAGAGGGGGGGGTGAGGGAGGGGGGAGGGGGGGGGTGAGGGGGGGGAGGGGGAGGGGAGGGGGGGGGGTGTGGGGGGAGAGGGGAGGGGGGGGTGAGGGGGGGGGTGAGGGGGTGAGGGGAGGGGGGGGTGTGGGGGGGAGAGGGGAGGGGGGGGTGAGGGGAGGGGGGGGTGAGGGGGTGTACGATGCTGTTACTCTGACTAACTGACTGTGGTTTGCAGGTCGCTGTCGGTCCTCACGCCCTGAGCCCTGAGCCCTGCCCTGCCAGCCCTGAGCCCTGCCCTGCCAGCCCTGAGCCCTGCCCCGCCAGACCTGCCCTGCCAGCCCTGAGCCCTGCCCCGACCTGCCAGCCCTGCCCTGCCAGCCCTGAGCCCTGCCAGCCCTGAGCCCTGCCCTGCCAGCCCTGAGCCCTGCCCTGCCAGCCCTGAGCCCTGCCCCGCCCTGACCTGCCAGCCCTGCCCTGCCAGCCCTGAGCCCTGCCCCGCCCTGCCTGCCCCGCCCTGCCAGCCCTGAGCCCTGCCAGCCCTGAGCCCCGCCCTGCCCTGCCAGCCCTGCCCTGCCAGCCCTGAGCCCTGCCAGCCCTGAGCCCTGCCAGCCCTGAGCCCTGCCAGCCCTGCCCTGCCAGCCCTGAGCCCTGCCAGCACAGCCCCAGCCCTGAGCACAGCCCGACTCGGCTCCCGGGGCAGCACAGGACCGGACAGGATGGCAACCGCCCAGATACACAAGGTACCCGCATGGCATCGCGCGGGGGGGGGGGGGACAGTCAGGGGGAGGGGAGGGAGGGAGACAGTCAGGGGGAGGGGGGACGGTCAAGGGGAGGGGGAGACGGTCAGGGGGGGGGGAGGGAGGAGGGGGGAGAGGGGGAGATGAGGGGAGGGCAAGGGGTGTGGGGGGGGGGGCGGCCGATGGCACGGCCCGAAGAGGAGGAGGGAGGGGGGTCTCGAGGCCGGGGGACTCGGCAGGAGGCTCAGGAGGGGGGGCCCGAGGCGGAGTGACCGGCGGGCGGGTGGGGGGGTTGTTCCAGAGGTTTGTGGGGCAGAGCGGCTGAAGGCTCTCTCTCCGGCCAATGGTGGGTGGGGCGGGGGGGGTTAGGAGAGTGGCAGAGGTGGTGGGGGTGGGGTGGGAGGGGGATCAGGAGGGAACGGGGGGGGGTTTGGGAGGGGGGTCAGGAGGGAACGGGGGGGGGTTTGGGAGGGGGTCACTACAGCAGCCAGTCACTACAGCAGCCAGTCACTACAGCAGCTAATCACTGCAGCAGCCAGTCACTACAGCAGCCAGTCACTACTCACTACAGCAGCCGGTCACTACAGAAGCCGGTCACTACAGCAGCCAGCGCACTACAGCAGCCAGTCACTACTCACAACAGCAGCCAGTCACTACAGCAGCCAGTCACTATAGTAGCCAGTCACTACAGCAGCCAGTCACTACAGCAGCCAATCACTACAGAAGCCGGTCACTGCAGCAGCCAGCGCACTACAGCAGCCAGTCACTACTCACAACAGCAGCCAGTCACTACAGCAGCCAGTCACTATAGTAGCCAGTCACTACAGCAGCCAGTCACTACAGCAGCCAGTCACTACAGCAGCCAATCACTACAGAAGCCGGTCACTACAGCAGCCAGCGCACTACAGCAGCCAGTCACTACTCACAACAGCAGCCAGTCACTACAGCAGCCAGTCACTATAGTAGCCAGTCACTACAGCAGCCAGTCACTATAGTAGCCAGTCACTACAGCAGCCAGTCACTACAGCAGCCAGTCACTACAGCAGCCGGTCACTACTCACAACAGCAGCCGGTCACTACAGCAGCCAGTCACTATAGTAGCCAGTCACTACAGCAGCCGGTCACTACAGCAGCCGGTCACTACAGCAGCCGGTCACTACAGCAGCCGGTCACTACAGCAGCAGGTCACTACAGCAGCCGCCGTCACTACAGCAGCAGCCGGTCACTACAGCAGCAGCCGGTCACTACAGCAGCAGCCGGTCACTACAGCAGCAGCCGGTCACTACAGCAGCAGCCGGTCACTACAGCAGCCGGTCACTACAGCAGACAGTCACTACAGCAGACAGTCACTACAGCAGACAGTCACTACAGCAGCCGGTGCACTTTGCTGATGTCGATCAGGAGCCAACGCACAATGTTGGGCTACTTTTGGGCTATTATTCGGTGGCATTGGGCTACGAACAATTTGAATTTCCGGCCCACCCGCCCCCAGCGGCCGCTCTGACTGCGAGATGGCGCCACAGCGATCACAGGGCCGTCCCGTCAGCGCGGCCTCCTCTCCGCGCCCAGCGCCCGCCTCCCGGCCTCCCGCCCGCCCGCCCGCCGCCTCCCGGCCTCCCGCCCGCCCGCCGCCTCCCGGCCTCCCGCCCGCCCGCCGCCTCCCGGCCTCCCGCCCGCCCCCTCCCGGCGCGTCGCAGAGGGTGAGGCGGAGAGATGAACGACAGCCCTGAGCACACGCCATCGCCCCGCAGTGGGGAGAGGCGGCGGCGGCCTCTCCCGCACCCACCGCCATCCCCACCAGGTAACAGCCGCCCTCCCACACAACCAAACCTGCTGCCAGCAGGCACCGCCCTCACGCCGCAGGCACTCGTGTGATTGGTCCAGCGGTGACATTCTCTTCTCTGATTGGCCCCGCGCGGAGTCACTCAGGCGGGTAGCGTTTGGGTGAGAGTGAAGCTCAGCCCTCACCCCCTCACCCTCACCCCCTCACCCTCACCCTCAGCCCTCACCCCCTCACCCTCAGCCCTCACCCTCACCCTCACCCTCACCCTCAGCCCCTCACCCTCACCCTCACCCTCAGCCCTCACCCCCTCACCCTCAGCCCTCACACCCTCACCCTCAGCCCTCACCCTCACCCTCAGCCCTCACCCTCACCCTCACCCTCACCCTCACCCTCACCCTCACCCCCTCACCCTCAGCCCTCACCCTCACCCTCAGCCCTCACCCCCTCACCCTCACCCTCACCCTCAGCCCCTCACCCCTCACCCTCAGCCCTCACCCTCACCCTCACCCCCTCACCCTCACCCCCTCACCCTCAGCCCTCACCCTCAGCCCTCACCCTCAGCCCCTCACCCTCAGCCCCTCACCCTCACCCTCACCCCCTCACCCTCAGCCCTCACCCTCACCCTCAGCCCTCACCCTCAGCCCCTCACCCTCAGCCCTCACCCTCACCCTCAGCCCTCACCCCCTCACCCTCAGCCCCTCACCCTCAGCCCCTCACCCTCACCCTCAGCCCCTCACCCTCACCCTCACCCTCACCCTCACCCCTCACCCTCACCCTCAGCCCCTCACCCCCCCCCCCCCCCCCCCCCCCCCCTCACCCTCACCCTCAGCCCTCACCCCTCACCCTCAGCCCCTCACCCTCAGCCCCTCACCCTCAGCCCCTCACCCCCTCACCCTCAGCCCCTCACCCTCAGCCCCTCACCCTCACCCTCAGCCCCTCACCCTCAGCCCCTCACCCTCACCCTCAGCCCCTCACCCCCTCACCCTCAGCCCCTCACCCTCAGCCCCTCACCCCCTCACCCTCAGCCCCTCACCCTCAGCCCCTCACCCTCAGCCCCTCACCCTCAGCCCCTCACCCTCAGCCCCTCACCCTCAGCCCCTCACCCTCAGCCCCTCACCCTCAGCCCCTCACCCTCAGCCCCTCACCCTCAGCCTCAGCCCCTCACCCCCTCACCCTCAGCCCCTCACCCTCAGCCCCTCACCCCCTCACCCTCACCCTCACCCTCAGCCCCTCACCCTCAGCCCCTCAGCCCCTCACCCTCACCCCCTCACCCCCTCACCCTCAGCCCCTCACCCCCTCACCCTCAGCCCCTCACCCTCAGCCCCTCACCCTCAGCCCCTCAGCCCCTCACCCTCAGCCCCTCAACATCACCCTCAGCTCCTCAGCCCCTCACCCTCAGCCCCTCACCCTCAGCCCCTCAACATCACCCTCACCCTCAGCCCCTCACCCTCAGCCCCTCAGCCCCTCACCCTCAGCCCCTCACCCTCAGCCCCTCAACATCACCCTCACCCTCAGCCCCTCACCCTCAGCCCCTCACCCCCTCACCCTCAGCCCCTCACCCCCTCACCCTTGGATCCTTTCTCATCCAAAGGACGGCACCACCATGACATTCTCCACGTCTTCCCCTCTGATAATTTTGCCAATTATCTTAAATCTGTGTCTTCTCATTACCGATCTACTCACCAGAGGAAACTGTTTCTACTTATTTATTGTAATTATTGCAATACATTTTATTTTGCTCCCATTCTCAGGTTGATTTTCAAGATATTCGAGCTAGAACTCAGGCTGAGAGGAAGCGAGAGGAGGAGAGACAGAGAAGATTGGAGAATATTAATAAAGTGAAAGTGAAGAGAGTCGAAGAAGAAATGGCAGGTATTTTTAGTTTGTTTTTGACATAGCTGTGTTTTTATTTAATGGAATTATCTTCATGTGAGCTGCCTATCTTAATTCCACTCTTCTGGACAGTAAATAATTTAATAATAAGCCTTGCAAAAAGTATAGTGACTTTTTTTGTAGGAAAATACAATTTAAATGTTGCATATTATTGACAGTAGCGAGAACCAGAGGTGTATTTTAGGCTCTCTTCTTCGGAAGAGATAATAATATTAATTCCTGAACTTGATATAGCGCCATATCACGTCTTCAAGATGTCTCAAAGAGCTTACAGGATATGCTATGGAATGATTATTTTGTGGGTGAAATGCAACAGCCAGTTTGCGCACAGCAATGTCCCACAAATAACCAAGGCGTGAGTGACCAATTTTATTTGGGATAAAGTGTTCATAGCTATAGACCACTTTAGGTCTCCTGTGGTAACGTACCTATGGCCCTCTCCCCCTCCTCCTCCCTTGGCATCCAATTCCATCCCTGTAAAGCACTCAGAGATGAGACGTTAGCCTACGAAAAGAACACTATATAGTTGTTGTTGGCATATAATTTAAAGCCCTTTTTTCTGTACATGGGGCTACAGCTGTTTTTCTTGTCTTATTTTTATCTTTTTGTTTCGGAACAGAGATGACTGAGGAAATGCAGAATTGTCTGACAGAGCTGGAGGCCTGTTTCCATTTTCTGATGCCACATCTCGATGAGTTCACCATTAATGGGAATGACTGTCTGCTTGAACAGGAAGTAACTGATGAAACAGATCAGTCAAACTGTATCGCCAGCGGACAGCAAGGTGTCCATCCACATTGCATGGATCTGTTTGATGATGAGCAGCCATGCAGCAGTAAGGACTTTCCACCACTGCCTTCAGTGAAAATAACTCCGGAAAATCAGGCCTTGGGTGAAAAGACAGAGAGCCCACAACAGGATGGAAGCAGTGAAAGTGAAGAATTTGAATCAACAACAACAACAACAACAAGATTCCATTTATAAAGCGCCTTTCACGTCAGGAGGACGTCCCAAGGGGCTGCACAGTTGGGTCATGACCCGAGCAGGGGGGAAATGGTCAGGGTGAGGGGAGGGAAGGGAGGGAGCGAGGAGGGGGGAAATGGTCAGGGTGAGGGGAGGGAAGGGAGGGAGCGAGGAGGGGGAAGAGAGTCGAGAGGGGAGCTGAAGGCTCGGTCAAAGAGAAAGGTTTTGAGACCGGCCTTGAAGGAGGAAAGGGAGGAAGCGGCGAAGGCACTGGGGGATGGAGTTCCAGAGCCTGGGGGCTGAGAGGCTGAAGGCCCGACCACCGATGGTAGGGCGGTTGGGGCGGGGGACGTGGAGCAGACCGGAGCCAGAGGAACGGAGGGTACGGGCAGGTAGGTAGGGGGATAGTAGGTTGGAGAGGTAGGAGGGAGCAAGGCCGTGAATGGCCTTGTAGGTGAGGATGAGGATCTTGAAATCAATCCTCTGGGGGATGGGGAGCCAGTGGAGGCGAGCGAGGGTGGGTGTGGTGTGGTCGCGGTGTCTGGTGCGGGACAGTACACGAGCTGCAGAGTTCTGAATGACCTGCAGTGTGGAGGGAGGTGGCGGGAAGGCCGGCGAGGAGAGAGTTCCCATAGTCCAGCCTTGAGGTGACAAAGGCGTGAACCAGGTTTCAGCAGCGTGAGGGGTGAGGTAATGCCGTAGTCTGGCGATGTTCCGTAGGTGATGGAAGGCGGTGCCAGTTGTGCGGATGTGAGGGAGAAAGGACAGCTCAGGGTCGAGGGGAACCCCGAGGTTCCTGACTGGCTTTGCGAGGTGGAGAGTGCAGCCTTGGATGCTGATGGTGTCAGCGCCTGAGGTGCGGAGGCGCTGACGTGAGCCAATCAGGAGGGCCTCGGTTTTTCGCACGTTGAGCTGAAGAAAGTTGTCTCTCGTCCAGGACTCGATGTCGGACAGACAGCTGTCAGGACATCGGGGGTCGTGGAGTTGAGAGTAGAGGAGGAAAGGTAGAGTTGGGTGTCATCCGCATACATGTGGAAGTTAACTCCATGTCTGCGGATGATGTCACCAAGGGGGAGCATATAGAGGGTGAAGAGGAGGGGACCAAGGACAGAGCCCTGAGGGACACCACATGAGACAGTACGGGGGGTGGAGGAGAAGCCATTCGTCGAGAATTCGTCAGATGAAGAAAATGAAGAAACCTTTATTAGAAATCATGGCCTTGTATCCCACAAATATTTTCTCAACCTAGAAATTGACACAGGTATATATGGATTAAATAGATATTAGGTCTTTAATACAGTCGGTTTTCTGCACAAATTGGAACTGGCCCAATGTGGATAAACAAACAAACAGTGAATAATTGGACAAGGTACAAATTATCTACAGAGCTACCCAAAAAATTCTTCCTTTGGGAGCTTTACAATCTCTATAATATTGCACCATGCCAGCCCTTCTTTCTCTCTGACTCCTCTACATTACAATAATAATCCTTGTCACGTCTTCGAGAAGACTTAAAGTGCACCACAGAATAAACTATAAAGCGAATTGACTATATTTTGTGGGTGAAACTCGGCAGCCAGTTGCGCACAACAGTGACCTATTTATTGTGATTTTGAAGGAATTATTACCCCCAGAAAAGTGATCTTCCAATCGACTAATGACTGGCTTCCTGCTTACTGCTAGGTAAACAGAGGTGTGCAAAGTAAGGAAACTTACCTTAAGGTTTCGCCCTGCCAGGAATCGAACCCAGGTTTCTCGCTTGTGAGGCGAGTACTCTAACCACTGAGTATAGAACTCCACATTGTCACAGAAACTGTCCTGTGGATGAAATTTAAACCCTCATTCCATCTGTCTAATCAGATGGATGTTGAAGATCCCATGACAAGAGAAATTTGAAAAGAGAAAGGAGTTTCTCCTGGTGTTCTGGTCAACATTTATCTAGATTAATTGATCATTAGGATATGGAGTCTTGCGGCTTAGTGGTTAGAGCATTCGCTTTGCAAACGAGAGGACCTGAGTTCGATTCCCGAGCAGTGCAAACCGTTGAGCAAGTTTCCTTACTCCGCACTCCTCCGTTTGCCTAGCAGCAGGTAGGAATCCGGTTGTTAGTCAGTTGGCAGATCACTTTTCCGGGGGTAATAAACTCTTCCAAAAATGCTATTATAGATCAAAGACCTAAAGTTTTGCCCACAAAATATACAGTCAATTCACTTTATTCTGTGAAACCCTTTGAAATATCTTGAAAAAAGTGATAAGGCGCTATAATCAAATGCAAGGATTATTATTAGAGGCCGCAGGCATCAACATAATTTTTTAAAAAGAAATCCACATAATATAAAAACCATATATAATGTTGTACACAAATATCACAAAGATTAATTATCCACTTTGACTTAAGCTTTGGTTCATATAATAATTATTAACGGCTTGAGCTTTGCTCTCCTGGTTCAACATGTCATCTGAACCTTGTGATTAGATTGTAATCTCATGTTCACTCCCAGGTACCTATTATTCTCTAACATGATGACTTCTTCTGTAAGATTTGGCTGCATCTATTGATCCCTTGCTCTCATAGCTTTTAAATTATGGCCACCTTTCAACAGTTGTAAGAGACATTTTACAACCCACTCTGAGGGCAAGTCTGCTTGTAGTGCTTCTAACAACATCAGATAAATATAATCTGCTAGTACCGGTCTTCCCATCCCCATTTCTAAACTGTTATATCAGCTAACTTGATGCTGACACTTGTGCTGAGATACTAATAAATTACCTCTTGAAAATTGCCATGTTTTGTGCTTGAAGATTTTCCTGTTGGTTTGAGTGCCAGAATTGCAAGCTATAAGAATTAATTTTAGTAGTAGTATTGGGCAAGGAGGACTAAATACTAATTTTTGTTATCAGTTTATAAAGTTAGTTCATAAAGTAGTGACTTTCTTGTGTTGTAGGAAGTTTATAGCACAGATATAATGAGCTGAACAGGTTCCTCTGTGTTATAGGTTTTCTGTGACGTTATGATGGAATTGTAACCTTTTGAACCACATCCGAACTCCAAAGATTCGAAACAAAAACTTGATGTGAAATAGTCATCTATGCACCAATGTCTAAGTAAATTGGTTTAGTTATGTTTTAAAGTTACACATTAAAGCATTTCTAAGATGTAATGTCAGTTTCCATCTTTGGCTACTAGGCTTGAAGGTCCGTGAGGATGAAGACAACACTGCTGTGGTCAGCAACATAAAGGACTTTGAAAGACTAGTAACTAAAAAGTACCTACCGACTGTCAAGTACTGGATCCAGGTATGAATTTAACAAAACTGCTGTTAGAGGAGTACATAAAGAAAACAAGATTAGAAACAAGAATGTGCAGTTTTAAATGCATAAATCATTCATCTTTTCATGGGAACGGTTTAACAGATTGATTAGGAATGAGGTTAAATACAGATTGAAGTTCTATTTGTGGAATAAACAGTTTCAGGAATCTTTATGATAGGGTTGAATGAATCAGAATTTGCATTCGACGGGTTTAATTCAGTTGAATATGTTCTTGAGCTACAATATTCCAAAGATACTCCAAGACAGAGCTGTTGTACGTAGGCTCAAAAAATGTTTTTACTGTAAATTTAGAATTGTTTAAAATATATAAAAGCATCTTCTCTTGAAATGCCTGCTTTCTGATTCAGAATTGCCATTTTCATGTGGTTTCTATGATGAGGCATTGAGATGGCATCGGACTAATTGGAAGGCAATGTGGTATGTGACATCAATGTAGAAGAGTCTATAAAATATCTGGGGATCTTATAGAGGTATAAATTAGAATGAGAAAATAAAGATAGAATAATACTTTAAGGTACGCCAAGGCAGCAGAACAAGATGGCACAGGTTCAGGGTACAAAGGGCAATTTCAGGACAGGCACCAGGAAATGTTTAGCCTTGCTCAGCTGGTAGTACTATCGCCTCTTAAGCCAGAGGAATGTTGGTTCAAGCCCCAAGTAGGGACTCGCAGCGTAGGCTGACATCTGGCACTCCAGTGCAGTGCTGCATTGTTGGAGGTGCCATCTTACTGATGAGACATTAAACTGAGGTCCTGTCTGCCTGTTCAGGTCGAGGTTAACCATCTCATAGCACCTTTCAAAAAGAGATGGAAGTTTCTCTGTGGTAAATTTTTTAAAAGTATGTAGCGTCTTATCCAGAATATTTATTTGAACTTTTGTAGAGGCCTCTAGTGACAGAAAACATCTGTTAACACTGATTTAATTGTGTATACTGGCCTATTGTAGACCAATTTATAAAAAAAAGTTAATAATTTGGTCACTCAATCCACTGCTGCACGCAATTGGCTGCTGCGTTTCACCCACAAAAATACAGTCAAGTCACTTTACAGTATATTCTGTGAAGTGCTTTAAGACGTCTCGAAGATGTTTTGTTTTCATACCACATTTTTAAAATAGATTTTCAGGTTTAATAAACTTTATTACAATGGCAATGGATTTTTTTCATTTTGATGCAAATAAATATCTATTTTCTATTGCAGAAACAATGGTAAATAGCTTTCTTCTTTAATGATGAGTTTATGCTACCTCCCCAGTGAACATTTGGGTTAGAGTGAGTCCTCAGGTTTTCAGAGGTAAAGTGCAAGGTTCTTCTATGAGCAGCCTGGTGTTTTCTTCCCCTTCCATGAGTGCTCCTATTTAGAATCAAGATTTAAAATGAATTGACTACTGGATTGATCAGCTTCCGTCATCATTTAGTGATCAGCCCTCATGATCAGAATCGAGTTGTATAATATTAAGTTTTGGGGATCTACATGGAGAAGGTTGACGCAAACTGAAAAGGGTACTTTCAATATTGAATTTCAAAGAACTTGCCATATGGCCCCAAATCAGAGGATTTGTGACTCCCACCAGTAGTTAGTTCTGTTTATTTTTCATGTCACTTAATAACTTTTAGTTTTATGGTAATCTGTTTTGTCAAGTCCCCTAACCAACAATCTTGTTTATTTGGCCTATTAATATAGAGTTTTGTGGAGTAAATTCAATATTTTATTTGTGTGTATAGATCTATTAGCCCTGATTATATTTTGCTAAAACTTAAAAGGATACAGGGTTGTCCCTAAAGAATCCAGTATACTTTGAAGTGGCTTCCTTGTAAGATTGTAAATTAAGTATTATTATTGCTTCCAGTTTCAGAATTATAAAATGTCAGTTCCATATCTGATTTGTGTTTTGACTTGATCACCAAATGCTGTGGTGTTTATATAGGGCTTACTGTGCTTGTGGATTTAATAGTAATATTAATAATCCTTGCATTTATATCAAGTCATTGTGAAACCGGTAGCCAATTGCACACAGCAGTATCCCCCATGGAGTGAGTGACCACATTTTTTTTTGGATTTTTTTTTTGAAGGGATTATTACCTGAATTGACTAACAACTGGGTTCCTACTTACTGCTGAGTAAATAAAGGCATGTGGAGTAAGGAAACTTGCCTAAGGTTTCTCCCTGCTGAGGATCAAACCTGGGTCCTCTGGCTTGTGAGGCGAGTTCTTTAACCAACACGCTACAGAACTCCACACTTACTACAGGATAGTATCATGCAGTTGTTATTGAAAACCAAAGCAGGCTACAAAAAAGAACAGATTTAAAAAAAAACAGACATGAGAAACTCAAAGTAAAAGTGCTAACATCTTGGATAAATTTTCAAATATAGGGAGTAAAGAGAGGACGAAATAAAGTACGGATCCACTTAAACATAATCATCGGCAGCTGGGGTTGGGGGAACAATGAAATTATTGTTTTGAAATTATTAAAAACTTCACATCCATCTTTATTGAGATCAAGGACAGGCAAGTACCCAAGTCAGGAATTGAAAAGAAATTGCAAAATAGTATGCAAATAATGACTGATATGGTTATTAACAGGTTAGGTGCTTTTAAAATAGACAAAGTACACACAAGATGCACATGTCTTAATGCTGACGTGTATATTTGAGAGTGACCTTTCTCTGGGGACTGCAGATTGTATTTTACTCCCAGATAAATATTTCTCCAAAAGAGCTGATTGAACCACAGTAAAGGATAGCTCCTCTCCATTCACTACAACAGAAGACGGGTTTAGCCTTTGAGACTGTGTCTATTCACCATTTTCAAGTACAGTGGAAGCATCAGTCCATTATATAGTTCTGTATAAATGTGTGGCTTTGCTACAGTTAATGCTTCTCCTATTGTGTAAAAGCAGATATACACTGAGATGGAATGTAGAAGGACTTTATAGTCAGGACTTCAAAGTTTGTCGTCATCACTTAGTAATCGTGATTTTTTTATAACAAATTCTAATTTCAGTAATTAATTTCCGGATCGCATTGTATTTACTTGTTATTAAAATAGAGCTTTCAGAAGACTTGGACGTCATCCAGGCTTAGTCGGAAGCATTCCCGCCTCGGAGTCAGAGTTTTAAGTCCTGTGTTGAACTTTGAGCTCAAATAGACAAGGCTGACATTCCAATGCGGTGCTGGGTGTGGGCTCCATTGTTGGGAGTGCTGTTCTTTAGATGAGTATTTAACCCCAGGCTCTGCGTCCCTATAAAGATCCCATGGCACTATTTGAGAAGGGAGTTTCTCCCGGTTGCTTAGTCAACAATCTCTCATATAAAATTTGTAATTTACTTCTTTGGCTGTCTGTAGCATATTGCTGTACGCAGATTTGCTGGCATATTCGTCTATAAAATACCCAGTCAACCCACTTTACAGTATATCCTATGAAGCATGTTTGACGTCTTGACGACTTTTGAGGTGCTTTATCAAATGCAAGGATAATATTATTATTAATTCTTAATTTTGCATCAGATATTCACCAAGGCTGGTGTTCACGATGTTCGCTTGAAGCAAGCTATTGATTTAAAAAATGCAATGGAGACAGCAGTGAAGAAGCACGAGGAGATGAACATCAGTTACAAGAATAGGAATAGAAAAGTGGTGAGTAACTCTACATCCATGAGTTGGATTGCTTCTGCATGTTTAAGCAGAGTGAAGCAAATAACTTGCTTGAAAAGATTCCTGGAAAGTTTTAAAACTTTTTTTAAATCGACTTATTAAATGCATCCACAAGATTGCACCGCAGACAATTATGGATTGTTGAGATTAATGTGCACTTTCCACTAAAGTTTACATTGAAAATATTATTGGTATTTCTCATTATGTCAGTGACTGCTGCGTGGTTTTGCTGGGATCTGAGGCCTAAATTCCACCTACTTTATTCTGTAAGACTTTTTCCTCTTAAAATGTAAGATTTGACGGAATTGTTAATAAAATCCACAGTCACTGCACTTTGCAGGAACTCCTGTGAAGTGTTTTGAGGAGTCTTCCCGACATGAATGGTGTTGTATCAAATGCAAGGATTATTATGCAAGTATAAGCACTGTGAGATGCTGAACTGTGAAAGGTGCCATATAAATGCAAGTTGTTGTTAACAAATTGTTAAATTATGGTCTTTAATTGAAAGTTGTTTACTTGTTTTTTTNAAAAGAAAGACTTCTAACTTCACACTTGGGCAGAGTTTTAAGGAGTTTCCACAACTCTGTCTTAAATTTTAATTTTGTGCTTCATATTGTATAGAATATTATTGTAAAGCAAGTTGAGTTTGTATTTGTGGGCAAAGTGTAGCAGCCAATTGCACGCAGCAGTATCCCACAAACAGTCGTAAATTGAGTGACCACTTTTTTTTGAGCGATTATTGCCCCCGGGAAGCGATCCGCCTATTGACTAACAACTCAGTTCCTCCTCACTGCAAGTGTTAGTTCAGTTTGACAGATTGAATGCTATGGAATATCTTAGTTCTGTGTTTGCAGTGAAAAATGAGGGGGGAAAAAAATAATTCTTGCAACTCTGGTGAAATGAGAGCCCAAGGTCCTCCACTAGGGGGAGTTTGTGTTGTGTGTCAGGGCAAGATGCAGCCATCTAGAGGAGAACTGGCAAGAAATATTTCCTGCAAGATTTAGTGCTGTGTTTTTTGTTGAGCCCAAACTGTTTTGCAATGTGCAGCAGGTCAATAAACTTCTGAAGGAGAAAGGTAGGTTACGGTTAAGGCCGGACCCTTCATGCAATGTGAACTGGTGGGCTGGAGGTACCCCTATATAGGTTAGAAGGTACAACAACCATTTTATACATATATATATACACACACCTTTCACATTGAGGATGTCTCAAAGCACATAATCCTTGTATTTGATAAAGCGTCTTATCACGTTGTTGAGATGTCTCAAAGTGCTTCACAGAATATATTGTACAGTGGTGGCAAGAGGTGGTGACTCTGGTGAGTTTGGTGAGAAATGTTGGTGTTTGCCAGGGTAGAAGTGTTTCTCCCCCACCCCTCCCCACTCCTGAGTGGCCACCCACTTTTTGTTAAAGAAAGCACTAATAATTTTTTTCTTTCTAACAATCTAATATGTGTTCTTTCTTCATGTTTAGTCTTTATCAATAAAGTGAAAATTTGTAGGTTGGCAGTAAAATAGATCTCAATAGCACCAATCAACCCCCCGCAATTTTCTATTGGCCCTGCTAATAATAATAATAATAATAATCCTTGCATTTGATATAGCGCTTTTTCATGTTTTCTAGACGTCTCAAAGCGCTTCACAGAATATACTGTAAAGTGAATTCACTGTATATTTGTGGGCAAAACGTGGCAGCCAATTGTCCCACAAACAGTCTTTCGTTGAAAATGACCATGTTTTTTGTTTTGGAGGGATTCTAGGCGTGTGGAGTAAGGAAACTTGCCCAAGGTTTCACCCTGCCTGGAATTGAATCCAGGTATCTCGCTTGCAAGGCAAGTTCTCTAACCACTGAGCTACAGGACTCCATGAGTGAGAACATAAGAACATTTGCTAGGCGAAAAAAGACCAAGGTCCATCTAATTCGCCTTCCACCATCCTGGCAGTCGCTTGACATGTCGTGTCCCAAACTATGTACTGTATCCCGAGATATTAATTTCAATCCCGAGATATTATTTTCTCAGAATATATTATGCACTGGCACAGACTGGTTAGGCCAAATGGCATGTTTCAATGCTGTAAAAGTATGGAATTGTAAATGTAGTTATGGTCTGAGCCTTCAAGCCACTTAAATGCAAAATCTATTGCAAGTATTTTATTTTAAAATTTCCCACTTTTTTTTAAAAAAATACTCTTACCCTTCTCCGGGCTCCATTCTCCAAGGTATAATGTAACCGAGGGTCAGGGAGGCGATTGGTTTTCAGATCCAATGCTGCTCTGTAATCAGCTATGGAAAGGTTCCCCCGCTGAAGTTGGTTACTTGCTGAGGCACAGCCGCAGGTATGATCCACTAGATTCCACTCTCCATGCCACTTTAGTGTACCACTGTACCAGTACATTGAAGATTCGACACTTTGAATAGTGCTTAAGTGGAGAACAACATACAAATATAGAGCCGCATTCAAATAAAAGAACATTTTGGAGTGTTTAACAATGGGAGTGGTGCTGGATATAAATGGAAGGAACTTAGAGGTGGCCAAAGGTGTGATGGAAGAGAGAGTATTTTTCTTTAGGAGATTTTTGAAAACTGGTAGAGGTGCTGTAGAAAGACTTAAGAGATTTTTGGATGAGTATTCGGGAGGTGATGGTCAAAGGCTCAGCTTTCTGATGACAAAATGAGGGGAATGGAGCGTAAGCAGGAAAAAAATCTTGACTCCGGTTTAGGATGTAGAGATAGACAATCACTCGGGATTCATTGCTGTAGCTGTACAATAAGCTCGGTGATCATTCTCGCGATTCCATTCACTGGTAAATTCTCCATCATCAAAACCTTGACTGTGGGAAGGGTTGAGCTGAGGTCTGATGCTTCTCAAAAGCTGAGGGTAAATCAGGGAGCCCTGATTGAGCTATTTCATATACCGTACCCAAATGGGAATTTCCGGCCTGAGACCTGAAATTCCACCGACTCTTAGTCTGTCAAACCATTTTGTCTTGATGTTCAAGGTTGCCAAGAAGGTCTTAAATTCAGTCTTAATTTGGAAGCTAGATTTTCAAGATTCTAAATTAAGACTATTTAAGAATTTTCCACGATTCTGCACCATCCTAAATTTTAAGATCAAATGATTAAGATGGGATGGAATTTCTGACCTCTTAGCCATGAGTTCAATTGGAGATCGTCCACATCGACTTTTCTAAACTATAACTAATTTCACACTATCCCAGTGGATTTCCAAAATGTTATATTCATAATATTTAAAATTTACAAAATTTTGTAAAATTTACAGCACAGAATTTGATAAGGTGCTATTATAATTATGCAAGGATTATTATAATTATTGTCTACAGAAATAGCCACAACACTTGACAGTAATTACCTTTGAAGTATTTTCGATGTCATAAGCCACCATAAAAATGTGATCTTTGTACGAAAGTAGACTGATTTCAGAATGTCCACTGGTTGCTCCAGTACTGATTTTTGCTTTCCATTGACAACAGCATGTTCAACATTTTGAAAACGTTTGAAAATCAATTTAAAGCTTTATTTTAAATAAAAACTTCCATTCAAAATAAATCTTGGGCTGTTAACACTGGTTATCAATAAGACGTGTATATGTGCATTGTATTGTGAATAAGGATAAAGTGGTGGTCAAAGGAGACTGTTGTAAACACCCTGAGCTCAGTTTTATCTTATCTCTGAATGTTTTATTCTTGATATGCAAAGAGAGGCAGACAGTGCCCCAAAATGCCCAAAAATGTAAGAACAAAGGATACAGTGAAACTAATCCAAAACAGTAAAAGCTGAATAAATAATAACAGATAAAATTTGCTCATTCACTACATTGTCCTCTTGTGGGACATTGCCGTGTGCAAATTTGCTGCTGTGCTCACCCACAAAAATCCAGTCACTACTGTACAGTAAATCCTGTGAAACACCGTGAGACATCCTCCTGAACCGAAAGGTATCAAATGATGTAGTGGATTATTATTATTATAAATATTATTGAAGGATTATTATTAAAATTGTTAAACTTATCTGAATATTAGTGCACCAAGATGCCTTTTATCAATCAGGTTTGCCTTGTCAGCACAGTCCCCAGTGTGTTCTGATGCATCCACATACTTTTTGTTCGTTGTTGGCTAATGATTTGACAATCAGCGACCGCTCGATCACATTGAACCGTAAGCTGAAATCACACTTGATTGGAACAACAATGTTGATTCATTCTAGTTTAAAAAATCTTTGCAATAACCTTTTAAAATATTGTGCACTTTTTTATTGTACAGTTAGTGGCTTGGGGACAGATTCACCTGACTTGCCGGAGTGCAATAATTTGCAGGACCTTCCAGAAAGGGTATTAGCATATAAATAGCAGATGCAATGACGACTATCACAGCTGAGTACATTTAATTTTTAGTTTATAAGATAGAATGGGTTTTTCTAGAGTGGACTGTCAGCACAGTTTTTGGAGTTACAAAGAGGAAGAGGGCGAGAGTGAGAATAATGAGTTGGCAGCCATGCTGAAGACCAGATACATCACCTTTGCCGGAGAGTTTCAGCCAGTAAATCACAAGTGCCAAGCACCAATGCCTGATGGAACACTTTGCCAACGCCAGGATCGGCTCAAGGTCTATAACTGTTGTTTTAAGATCACCAGTAGCAGTAAGCTATGTTTTTTTAAAAAATTTGCAACAGGTACACTTACCTTGGAAGCAAGAGGACCTGGGTTCGATTCTTGGCGGGGCAAAACATGTGTCAGGTTTCCTTACTCCTCAAGTCTGTTTACCCAGCAGTAAGTAGGAATCTGGTTGTTAGTTGATTGGCAGATTTCATTCTGGGGGTAATAATCCCCCCCCCACCAAAAAAAATGGCAAGTTTTATAAAGTTAGGTAAGTTTCCTTAATCCACAAACTTGTTTACATAGCAGTAAATAGGAACCCGGTTGCTAGTCGATTGGCTTTTTCAGAGATGGTAATGGCTTCAAAAAAATAAACTAATAAATAATAATAATAATTTGGTCACTCAATCCACGACTGTTTGTGGGACACTGCTGTGCACAATTGGCTGCTGTATTTTGCCCACAAACTATACAGTCAATTCACTTTACAGTATATTCTGTGAAGCTCTTTGAAATGTCTCAAAGACCTGATAAGGCGCTATATCAAATTCAAGGATTATTATACATTATTACATCTGATAAAGCAAACACATTAGATTTTGATGAGACTTCTGACTATTCACAACTGTTGCGCTCATCTCAGTGAATTAAAGATGAATCTTAAAATATAAACTTACTTGAAGAAAAATTACCAAAGTAATTATTCTAATGGATGCAGACATGTTTGTATTAGATTTAAGACTGCAAAGTATGAAACCCTGACAAATGTACTATTAACTCACATCTGTTGTGTGCAAACATAGTCTTTACTTGACAGCAATCCAGTGTGAAGCCCTTTGAGACTTTTGATGTTAATGGGCACTTTGTTAAAAGCAAAAAATGCAATCTGTCCTTGTTTGGGATCCACAAAATGCCAACCTGGTGAGGCACGGTTTGACTGTATGTGTGTACAAAGTGCACATCTTCTGGTTCCTACGTTAAAAGAAAAAGTGGCCAACTTCTGGATCTTACGGTCACCACCATATTACATCCTGTTTGACTTGATGTAAACGGTGACCTGATGTCCTCAAAGATGGCCCTTTTTTTATGAGCTGAACCTAAAATGACCGACTTCCGAGTCGTTAGGTTGCTAGTGACATCACTTCCCGCTTTACACATGCACAGCACATCAGGAAGTGACATTGACGGGCAAGGTTTGTGTGAAAAGCCAGCCAGTGAATTGGAAACAAATGGTCTGGCTGTGTGAATGCACAGAGAACTGGGTCAACAGTGCAATCGTAATTTTAAGCAAATTCACGCAATAATGAACTGTGTTTATAACAGGGCCAAAGTATATTATAACTGATGGTGAACTTCACTACAGGAACAAAGCATTGTGAAAGAATGCATTCTCGCATCAACTTTTGCAATCATGATATTAACATATGAAACTACTTGGCTTTCAGTATTAGCTGAAGTAGAAAAGTATCATTTAAAATAGCAAATATGGCCAGGTGTCTGTCGCATTCAGTAATTTGTATGGCAACATGTAACACATTTGGGAGAGATCAGCTTTTAAATAGATCTGCAATTACTATAACACAGAATAATCTTCTACATCTGAAACCAAGACCTCCTTCAGTAAGAGTCTTTTGGGAATATGCTTGGTATGATTACTGTCCCATCAATTTTCATGAGTGATTTTTAAACAACAAAATGCACTGAATGACAGATCGCATTGCTGTATATGTGAGTCGTTGATGGGAAGCAGAAATAGTATATGCTTGAGGTCCGAGACAGCTACTCTGCGTGAAGGGCACTATAGGATACAAGTATTTGTTGTTGCCCTATACTGAACGATTTCACTCTCCACAGTTACTTAGAGAACTGTGTCCATTTTTGTCACAGCATTTTAGGAAGGAGCCATAGAGAGGGAGCAGAGGAGATTTACTAGGATGATAACAGGGCTGAGCAGTATGCCAGAGGCTTGAGGAACTGTGCCTATTTTCACTTGAACACAGAATGCTGAGGAGAGACCTGATAGAGGTCTAAACATTATGATGGATTTTGAAAGCGTCAAATGGGAGAAATTATTTCCAAATGGTTGATGAGTCAGTGACTGGAGGACATTAATTTAAGAGAATTAACTTTGGAGCAGAGCACATTAAAATGTTTTTTTACACAAACAGATCAAAAGTAGTGTTCGAGACAGAATCCATATTAATTTTTATGAGAACTAAGTACTACAGCAACAACATGTATTTATATTGTGCCCTTCACGCAAGCAGTATCTCCTTCCTAGATATCTAAAGAGGAGTAATTTGCAGGAGGTGGGGAAAGGGGCCAGTAAATGGGGCTGAATTAATTGCTCTTTCAAAGAGTCAGCATGGACAAGATGGGCTGAATGGTCTTCTGTGCTGTAAATTTTTATGGTCGTATAACAGCAACAGCATGCAGTTATATCGCATTTTTTAAGTAAGTTAAGGATTCAAAGTGCTTTTCAACGCATCCTGAGCAGGATGAAGGAAATGGGGGAAGAGGGGGGCTGAGGGGCAATAAAGATGATGTTCAAAAGCATAGTCAGGGAGAGTTTTGAAGGTAGGGAAAGAAAGTGGAAGGATTTTATGATGATTATTGACTCCTTAGTGAATTCTCTGGCTATTTTGCCACAAAGGTTCATCATTGAATGACTATCAGAAGTCAAACCTCCTGCTGACTCTGTTGTAGTTCCCCTTGTACGGCATATTTTGTGAGAATGTTACCGGTATGTACAAAGGGGAATTAGCCCCCTCATAACACATTGATTTAAGATCCAGTCCTGTTATTTGCCCCAAATTTCTCCCCATTGCCTCTGTATTTCACATGAAAGGCATAATTTCTCTCAGAGAATACGTATGAATATTAAAATATAATCAATTCATACACTCTGAGGTGTCACCCAATGCAAAAGATGATATATAAATTTAAATTGTATAACAATAATAAGAATCCTTACATTTGATATAGCCCCTTCCACGTCGGGAGGACATCTCAAAGAGCTTCACAGGATTTTACTCAAGTTTAGTGACCATGTAGGCAAATGCGTCAGCCAATTTGCTCACAACAATATCATAAACTCACACAGCATAAGTAGGTAACAGTGGAATTTCAGCCTCTTGCCCAATGAATTAATACCTGGAAAAGGATATCTTGTTAAAGGAGAGTCAGCAAGGATTCAGGAAGGGGAGGTCGTGCTCAGCTAACCTGACATGGCAGATAAGGGTAATGCAGTTGGTATTACATACTTGAATTTTCACAAAATGAAATGCTGGCGTGTATAAGTAATCCACAATATACCTTGCATTGGATACAACATATTTCGCTTTGAGAGGACATCTCAAAGCGCTTCAGAGGATTTTACTGTGTATTTCTTAGGTGAACGAATAAGATAGGGGTATATTGATAAAATATGAATTGGGTGGAGTATTGAAAAAGTATGGATGTTAATGCAGGAAGGTTGAAGGGAAGTCTGAATTCATGCTCAACCCTCCCTTTTCATTCCCAATGTCAGAGAGAGTAATAGGTGTTTCTCACCATCCTATAGACTGGCGGGATCCAGAGCTGATGAGAGAGATTGAAGCTGCCAAAGGTGTCGATTTGGGATCCTCTAAACTCTATAAAAAAGGGAAAAAGGGAAAAGGAAAGAAGAAAAAGTACCCAAACCTCACTGACTTGAAGCAGCAGAGCAATACATCGAGATCCAGGCTGGAGAAGCGCATCTTCAATAAGTAAGCACTTATTTTTTCTCCACTGTGTGTATCGAAATATCTGAAGTGCTTTTATTTCCAATGTATAGAATCATAGAATGGAGTCCTTTAGTGATTTGTTAGAGCACTCGCCTCGCAAGCAAGATGATCCAGGTTTGATTCCTGGGCCAGGCGAAATCTTAGGCAAATTTCCTTACTTCACAAGCCTCTGTTTACCTAGCAATAAGTAGGAACCCGGTTAATAATAATAATAATAATAATAATCTAATATTATATAGTTGTTAGTCAATTGGCGGATCACTTTCTTGGAGGTAATAATCCCTTCATAAATAAATTATAATTTGGTCACTCACTCCACGACTGTTTGTGGGACCCTGCAGTGCACAATTGGCTGCCGCATTTGCCCACAAAATATGCAGTCAATCCACTTTACCGTATATTCTGTTAAGCGCTTTGAGACTCAACAACGTGGTAATGCATTGTATCATATGCAACGATTATTATTTTTATAATAATAATGCAGAGAAGCAGACCAGTTAGCCCATCACGCTTGTACTGGGTCTGGATTTCCATCTCTGCCGGCTTGTTTCAGCTCCTCCATAGCCTCAGATCACTGTTTTACAACAGGGGCTATAAATACCAGGACTGTTTAAATAATAGTGGTGATGTGCATCCTCCAATGGCCCAGCAGGTATATCCAGTAAAGAGTGCAGACAGACCAAGAAAGTCTCAAGATTCAGAAGCACAACTAACACACCCCTCCCCCACATGGTCAAATATTCTTTGAAAACCTGAGTGGCCACTTGGGAAACATCACAGTGGGTGACTGAGGCCGAGGGGAGAAAATAAGTGAATAAAATTGCGATTCCGTAATTGTTTTCATCAGTTGTTAATTACACAGTTAAGGGTCTCTGTAGATTCTCTCTGTAGACATGGTTAATGCATAGCAAACCTATATTTACACATGGTTTACACAATTTGCAATATCATACCCCGGTTTGAGGTGAAGCTCCCTAAGACAAAAGGAAAGTTTGCACCAATCATTCATAAATGCATTGCTTTGATTTCTGATGGTAAAATCTGAAATCGTTATATGATTCTTGAAAACGTAATTTTTTTTATAAAGTGAGAGAGGGGTTTTAAGGGCGATGAAGTTGTGTGGTCTCCGGTTGCTCTGTTCAATGCAACACAGGATTTTCTTTCAAGAAACTTGGTGTGGAGGTTATGTAAAGGGTTAATTAACCTCCTGGCTCTTTTATCACAAGGAAAGAACCTTGAATTTACAAGTAATAAAATCCTGCTGTTCTTGTCAATAAAATTTAGTGAATGGGTTCATAGGATTGAAATGGATATCAATTCATTTACACTGCCACACTGCACAGCAATGCTGATGCCAGACTTAACATGACACACCAGGACGTATCAAGGCCACTGAATTAGTGCTAAAGAGTCCTCTTAAATATTAGATATTTGGGCTTCATGTCTGCTGTTTCCTAATTTCACAGGTGGTGGAGATAGAAAATAATACTGTTAAACATATAGTGTCCTGGTGTGTTTTTATTAATGGAAAGCACTTTTGAGGTATCACATTGCTTTAAGTATTGATTTTGTGTGTAATTGCTGAGGGGACAATCATTGTTCAGACACTCATATTCGAGATGTTGCAATTTTTATTTAATTCAAGCTTTTCCTTGAGGGCATTTACTGTACAATTGCAGTCAAAGTGATTATTCCTAAACTAAAGAGGCCTACTACATGGTTTTGTTTGCTCGCAGTCAATTGAAGGCATTTGGTGTCTTTTTTTTAATCCCATCCAAGTAAAAGCAGTAAATGAAGCACTGGTTCAGTGATGAAAAGAATGAAACCTTTCAGATGTTGATTTTTTTTATGTACTTCTAAAGATGGGCATGGATGAATTCTGTCAAGTAATCGGTGAAAATCGCTGCATGCACATTTTATACAAAATAACAACAGCAGTAAAATTGTACCAAAGGAAACTCCTGACATTTGCAAACATCTCTTGAAAAAGCACCATGAATAATAATAATAATAATAATCCTTGCATTTGATATAGCGCCTTATCACGTCTTCAAGAAATCTCAAAGTGCTTCACAGTATATACTATAAAGTGTAATGACTGTGTATTTTGTGGGCAAAAACTTCCTACCCACGTAGGCATAATCAGCCTAGCACCCTCTTGCCTCTGAGTCAGTTGGTTGTGGGTTGAAGCCCCATGTTGGGGGAGTAGGGATTCTTCCCACTCACCTTCTGTTAAACCCAGCAAGCCAAGGTAGATGGTATTAGTAAGCGGCAAACTATGCAATTTGAACTACTATTATTTTTAGTTAAACTACAGCAGATCCTAACGCACACGCTGTGTTCTACAAGCTTTGGCTGTTGACAATGAGCACCAAATACTCTCTGGGATTAGGTAAACAGGGTGCATCTCTCTGGGGAGAGAGTGCACATTCCGTAATAATAATAATTCTTGATATAGCGCTTTATCACGTCGTTGAGACGTCTCAAAGAGCTTCACAGAATATACTGTAAAGTATAGTCACTGTGTTGTCTGGGTGAAACACGGCAGCCAATTGCGCACAGCAGTGTCCCACAAACAGTCGTGGATTGAGTGACCAGTGTATTACTATTAAGGCAGCAACCAGCTTTTGTATAAGTGTGCAATACATACAGTAAACCATTGTCTCCTCTCTCTCTCTCTCTCCTCCCCCCCATCACTCCCATTAGTCCAGGGTCATCCCCCTCTCTCCCAGGTTCACCACCCTCTCCCCCCAGATCATCCCCCCCTCTCCCTCCAGATCATCCCGCCTCTCTCCCCCGTTCTTTTCAGAACACTTCACATAGTTTGGAGTCCTGTAGCTCAGTGGTTAGAGCACTCGCTTTGCAAGTGAGAGACCTGAGTTCAATTCCAGGCAGAGGGCGAAACCTTTGGCAAGTTTCCTTACTCCACACAGAGCCTAATAATAGTCCCTCCAAAACAAAACAATAATAAAATTGGTCATTTTCAATCTACGACTGTTTGTGGGACATTGCTGTGCGCAATTGGCTGCCGCGTTCGCCCACAAATATACAGTCAATTCACTTTACAGTGTGTTCTGTGAAGCGCTTTGGGACGTCCTCCCGACGTGAAAAGCGCTATATCAAATGCAAGGATTATTATTATTATTATTATAGTTTTCTGCAAAGTGTAGTGACTGTATTTGTAGGCAAACGCAGCAGCCAATTTGTGCAAGCAATGTCACGCAAGTGTTTTTTTAATCCAACTTGGAAAGTCAAAGATTAAAACTGAAACAGCTGCTGTGGATGCCATTTCTGAGGGAGTTCCCAGGAGATGCTCGTGAGTGGCACAGATTGATACGTTTCAGCTCCAGCTTCAGTGATGCAAACCAAATGCACCAGTATGTCAGAGAGGCTGAGATGTTGACGGTTATGACCTCTTCTACATATTCTGACCCATCTACAGCTTCAACCGTGCTGGAGTCTGATATTGAAAGAGATTAACTCCAGGACTGGGAATAACCGTTCACTCTAATCCTATTGAAATTCCCATTGGAGATACCCCCACTACATAAATGTGACTGGCTGCCTTCTGCAATGCATCTTATTGAATCCAGCCTATGGTTGCTGCAGGCAGAGCTTCTGGAGAATACTTTGGCTTGAAAAAAGTTTATAAAGTACATTCTACAAGTAAATCAGATGGACATAGCAATGATGGAAAGAGTAGGTTCAGTAGGATGATACCAGGGCTGGCAGGTTACTACTATCAGGTTTGGCTGGATAGATTTAGCCTTTGTTTTGCTGAAAAGAGACGTTTAATAGATCTAATAGAGGTGTTTAAAATTAGAAATGGGTTTCATAATGTTAGTATAAATAACCAAGGGTACAAGTATAAGATAGTGATTAGGGGATATAAAAGAGAATTTAGGAAAAACTACTTCATGCAGAGGGTAGTGAGACTGTGGAACTCGCTGCCTGAAGCAGTAGTTGAATCAAATAGTGTAGATGAATTCAAAAGGAAGCTGGATACACAGATGAGAGAGAGAGAAATAGAAGAGTATAGGAGGGAAAGAGGAGTGGGTAGAGACTCATGTGGAGTATAAATACTGTCACAGATTAGTTGTGCTAAATGGCCTGTCTCTGTAAATCTATGTTTCTTCCCTTTTTTTAAGAATGTTCTGCGCAGGAAATGGTAAAGTGGCTTCAATCATAGTGAATCAGGTTTCTCCCACCATCTCCGTACTTTGGTTTAGTGGATCAGAGAAAACTGTGCTTGTCTAGGGATCTGTTTCATGATGGTGTAGAACCTTTACCAGAATGGTACCAGGGACGAGGGACTTTATAATTAAAGAGAGGGACTAGAGAATCTGGGATTGTTCTCCCTAGATCAGAAAAGGTTAAGGAGAGATTTAATAGAGGAGTTCAAAATTCTGAAGGTTTTGATAGAGTAGATGGGGAGAAACTGAATCCACTGGCAGGTGGGTTGGAAACCAGAGGACATAGGTTTAAAATAATTGGCAAAAGAACCAAAGGTGGGATGAGGAGACATTTTTGTTTTACCCAGTGAGTTGTTATGGTCTGGAATGCACTGCCTGAAAGGGTGGTGGAAGCAGATTCAATAACAACTTTCAAAAAGGTATTGGATATATAATTGAACAGGAAAAATTTGCAAGGAAATGGGGAACTAGCGGGGAGTGGGACTGATTGGGTAGCTCTTTCAAAGAGCCGGCACAGGACTGAATGGCCTCCACCTGTACTCTAAGATTCTATGATTCTAACCTCAGCTCTGCTTTGCAACTGAATATCGGCAAGCCATACTCCTTGGTCCCGTCAATGCCTTCTTCCCTGCGGCTCTGACATCCTCAACCTCCCCGCTTTATCCCTCTTGTACTATTGCGTTGCCATGAAATACCTAAAATAGATTTTAAAACCGAAAAATTGGGATATTGCTGTTCTAACAGAAGAGGAGGTGAAGTTAAACAGGCCCAGACTAATGGCTTGTGCCAACCAGTCATTTAATATGGGAATCACACTGAACAAAATTACTGACTAAACACCTCCTCTCAGCCTCTGCCCAGCTCGGAAGACTTTTGATTCAAGGGGTTGACTTCTGAAATTGATATCTGAAGTTCTCATCTCCCGACCTTAAATCTGAACTGAAATCCAAATAACCATGAGGTATGGAGAAATGGCATGTTAATGGTACTGAAAGGATTGCTCTATAAAAGAGCTAGCACGAACATGATTGTATAATTGGCCTTTGTTTTTATGGTGTATATTTCTATGGCTCAATGGCTGTGCCAACTGATATCCCTATGGTAACACATAGAAATGCACCAGCAGTACTACACAAGTCTCAAAGCAGACATCATTGGGCATCTTTACCTTACCCTTTTTCTTTTGTTTTTCTTTGCAGGTTGTCTGTGAAACGAGTGTCCGAAGCTTTAGCTCGTATAGACAAAAGGAAACACGAAAAGTTTGCAAACCAATTCAACTATGCGTTACAGTGACATCAGCTCCAGAAACAGCCACTTTGCCGGACGGTGCCTTTATCTGTTAAACCTGTGGCTGCAGCCCACTCTGTGGGTGAACTCGGAACAGCTAAATAATCCTTTTTTAATATAGATTTTGATAATATTATTCCTCATGGTGTGACATTTCATTTATTGGTGTATATCTCATACATCTTTTTTAATGTTAATAAAAAAATGTGCATTTAAGGTATGTAATTATTGGTAATTGCGATTGATAATGTAATATATAAAACTGCTCAAACTTCAGATTTATTCATATTAACTGAGTGACCAAAATGTACTGATTAGCTACTCTGTTTCCAACAATGTAAAATGAATTGTAGACTTTTCCTGTAAGCTGGACAGTTTTGCTGAGGGCGTTGTGTTTCTGGATGCACGTGACAGACATTTTTTTTCCAAATCTTTGCTTCTTAAACAAAGAAAATTGATGCTCTATACTTCCTCACAGTTCACATTGTTATGTTTTTATTTAGATTGAAAATGTTATCTCCAACTGATTTGACGTGCGTACCATCCAAGTGTGTCCTTTTTCTGAAACTGACTGTATTCTGTCACAGTATTAACAATAATCCTTGCAGCGCTACAGTACACAGGCCTGTATAGCCACAAGTGAAAAATCTCTGACTGGGAGAGAGGGGAAGAATGGGACTGGACTAGGTGGATCATGTGGAGAAAGACACCAGAACAGACATGATGGGCCAAATGGTCTGTTTCTGTGCTGTGACATTCTGTGTGTCTGTAGTTGTTACAGAGAAAGATCAACCTCCCTTCACCAGGACTCCTCTGTGTAACCCATTGCTCTCTGTGTATAGAGGTACAACTCAACCTGACCTAACAGTGCATCTATAACTCTGAAAACATGCCCCAAGTCTTGTACCTTGACATCTCTGAAGGATTTCTCTATCACATTTAGCGTCTTACAGACCTCCATAAGGTCACCTCTGAGACGTTTTCTTTTAAAGCTCAAGAAACCTAGCTATGTATTATAACTCATCACCTTTACAGTTTCTGCCCTAAATTTGCCAATCATATCTCTGAACCCTTATGCCCTCTTCCTTTTGTTGTTGGGCTGCAAGTGTTGGGTATTCCATTGCCTCAGCAATGGGCTTTCACGGTTTAGACTTCAATCAGATTGTGTAGATGTACTCGAGAGGAAGCTAGACCTTCACGTGAGCGAGACGGGAATCGAAAGGTATGGGAGGGAGTAAGGAGTGGGTGAAGATTCATATGGAGTATAAACACCAGCACAGACTGATTGGGTCGAGTGGCCTGTTTCCTTGTTGTACATTCTTGTAAATTATCACCAGCGTGTGCATTGATGCTGAATGATTCAGATGAAACATCGATAATGTTCAGATATTTGATCCGTGTCACTTGAAAGTTATCAAATTTTTTACAAAGTTGCTCTCGCTATGCTCCATGGCAACATTGAGAATGTATTCAGTAAGATCATAAGAGGGAACAGGTCTTTATTGTGTTAAAAATATGTATTAAATCTCAGCAATTTCACTTGACTGCATGTAATTTAAGACAATGATCAATCAGAAAAACTTAGGCTTGCCATTGACTGAATAAAACGCTTACCTCTTGAATCAAGCCTGATTTTAATCACACTACTTAACACATTTGCTCTGAAGGATTACCATCTATAGCTCATCCTTATGCATGTAATAAGATCAAAGTGGATAACATGGGTTAAAGTGGATTAAGCACTTGATCCTCCTGACAAATGTTAAATGTAAATCCTAGCCCAGACTCTAAACTTCTCACCCTAACATTTACTGATCTACCAGCTACAATGCCATAATCCTAAACCTGCCCTTCTCGACTTAGGTTTTATCTCCACCGCAAGGAGTAACTGGAATATCAGGTAGGTTTTGTTTTCAAATACAGTAATTACCGATGTTTAAATTGTCACTACAGATGTTGCAAATTGCAGATAAGTTTGAGCATTTTAATAAACAGCAGTAAAGGGTATAGAGCTGTTAATAACAGACCTTGCTCCCTCCCTCCCTCCCTCCCTCCGTGGCTCAAACTCCACCATTGTTAAGCCCTCCAAAACGCTATCCTGCGTGAAGGGTGCTATATAAATGCAAGTTGGTTGCTGTTGCTATATTTGCCTGTCTCATGTTAAATATTCATTTTCTCTATAATATTTCTTAATGCTTAATAAACAATGATTCTAAGATTTTGATATAGCGCCATTCATGTTGGGTGGTTGTGTCAAAATTCTTCACAGGATTTACTGTAACATGTAGTGATTGTATTTTGTAGATAAATGCAGGAGCAATTTGCACACAGACAGCCATGAAGTGAATGACCTTTTCATTTATTTTGGGGGAATTGTTGGCCAGGAGAAACTCCCTCTCTTTTTGAATAGTGCCATTGGATCTTTAACTTCCACCTGAATTAGCAGATAGGACCTCGGTTTAACGACTCATTCGAAGGACCGCACCTCCAACAATGTAACGCTGATCCCAGCATTGCATTGGAGTGTTATCTTAGGTGGTATGTTTGCCAATTCCCAAACAAACGTCTCAGAATCCTCAACCCTCTTGACTCAGGATGTGAGTGCTACCAACTGAGCCAGGCTGATATTAATAAAGCCAAGGTCTGTCTAGCATTGATACAGCTCCTTTAACTAGGGATCTTAATTTACTGTCTCATACACTGAGTCATACACTTAATCTGAGCAGAGGATTTAATTAGCATCCAGTGGCACCATACATTGGCGATCGAACATGCTTTACCCCTGCTCTGTCTGAATAGTATATGTTTGATCGGAGGATAAGATAATAATAATAATCCTTACTCCCCAAGTCTTGGCTCTTGCCAACCTGCTCCTAATACTTTCTGGAATTAGGTAAACAGGATGTGTCCCTCCAGGGAGAGAGTGCACATTCCATTCCAACAATCTATCTCTGGGATTTCCATGTGTTGGTGGGATACATGGAAATCTCAGTTTGGTTTGGATACTCTTAAGCACGGGGATGGGGTTCCACATGTGTCAGACACCGGGTTGACTCAAACTTAAAAAAGACTAAAAATCAAAGAGCCATCAATAGAAATATTTATATCATCAATATGCTTAACCTTTAGGAATATAAAACTTCACGTTTGCTGTGTATGATTTTGTTGAGTGTTGAGGCTGCTTTGCTTGGTGTTGAGAGGGTCAGGGTTTGTGTGGAGTGTGCCCTCTGATGGCCAGCAGGCGCTGCCCCAAGTAAGTGGCAGAAGGCATTTAAGTATTCATGTTAAACAACTTATATTTTTTACACACGAGTCAATTTACATTTGGGGATATAAGTTTCCGTGAAGAGAAGCAAATTTTGTGTCAGACATCATGAATTCCTCACACTTCATCAGTCACAGGGAAAGTTGTTGAAGTCTTCATACAGGGATGCAAACAAGGGCGAACAGCGAATGGGATTGACTTAATTTAACACATTGGCACCAACAGCTAGGAACTGTTAATAATAATAATAATTCTTGCATTGATATAGCGCCTTATTACATCGTTGAGTTATCTCAAACCGTTTCACAGAATATACTGCAAAGTGAATTGACTGTACATTTTGAGGGCGAAGCGTGGCAACCAATTGCGCACAGCAGTGTCCCACAAACAGTCGTGGATTGAATGAACAATTTTTTTTAAAGGACTAGTAACCCCAGAAAGCGATCTGCCAATCGACTAACAACCAGGTTCCTACTTATTGCTCGGTAAACAGAGGCATATGGAGTAAGGAAACTTGCCTAAAATTTTGCCGCAGCCCGGAATCAAACCTGGGTCCTCACACTTGCCAGACGAGTGCTCTAACCACAACATTACGGGACTCCACTGTTGGGAGCACAGCAAATTCTAATAATAATAATAATCCTTGCATTTGATATATCGTAGTATCACATCATTCAGGCATCTCAAAGCTCTTCACAGAATATACTGTAAAGTGAATTGACTGTTTTGTGGGCAAATTGCACTCATATTAATACTCTTATAATAACCCTTGCTAAATTAAGGGAAGTGCAATGTTTTCAGCAGAGTGTTTAATATGATTAGTAGCAAGATCATGGTGACAGGATTCAAAGAAATATTAATCATAAATAATTAGCTTCATAAATGAAATCTCTTATAATAAGTAAATATGACACAATTTTGAGAAACGTGGGAAAACAAGGAATTAGATGATGAATAAATAAACTGGGGGGGAAGGGAATACAATGCAAAATATGCTTACAATAAAACGTAAAAAAAGTGAGGACAATTATTCTGAAGAATCTAACAACTTTTTTTCCTATTATTTTTAAATTCCGCTGCATGTTTGCTCAAATAAAATGTACAAATCATGCAAATAATATGGAAATATTTAACTATTATTGGTTTATATAGCAATGGTGAGAATGAAGAAAAAATTCAAATTCTACATAAACATTTGTGAGAACTAGTCAGCAAAGTGGGTGAGTCTGGGCTGAGGGATTTATTCATAGATTTAAAGAGTTTTGGCTATTTTTAAAAATATGTTATTTTATCTTTTGTATTATCACATAAGATATATACTATATATACAAACACACTATATATACACACAATATATATACACACATATATACACAATGTATATACATCACACAAAATGTATATATACAATCACACAAAATGTATATATACAATCACACAATATGTATATATACAAGCAAATAGTATATATACACACATATATACACACACAATGTATATACATACACGCAATATATATACACATACACAATATGTATATATACAAGCACACTATATATAGACACAACATATATACGTTTATATACAATATATGTACACAAACACACGATATATATATACCTGTACACACTATATATATACACAAACACACAATATATATATACCTATACACACTATATATACACAAACACACAATATATACACCATATATACATACACCCAATATACTAATATATATATACACCAAAATGACATGTGTCTAGACCTTTTCACGTCAGAAGAACATCCCAAGCCGCAGGACCAATCAATGTTTCGAACCCGAGACGGGGGTCAGGATTGGGGAGGGTGGAGGGCAGGAAAGAAGGGTGATCAAAGGCATGGTCAAAGAGGAGGATCTTGAGATGGGTCTTCAAGGAGGCAAGCGAGGGGGCGAGGCAGAGGGACTGCGGGATGGAGTTCCAGAGGGTGGGGGCAGAGTGGTTGAAGGCCCGACCACCAATGGTGGGGCGGGAGATGCGGGGGACGTGAAGCAGGCTGGAGCCCACTGTGGGTTAAAAGGTTGCAGAGGTAGGGGGGAGCAATATCTATTCCCCCAAAGGAAATAGTTGTTTTATCTGCGAATGAAAGAGTTGGAGAACGAAAGAGGACACAGTGAATGACGCTGTGTGAGACAGCAGCAGATTAGACTGAAGGGAAATGTACATATATATATATATATACAGTGTATATATACGGACAAGATATATATACATACACAAGTTATATATTATATATACAAACACACAAGATAATAATCCTTGCATTTGATATAGCACCTTATCACGTCTTTGAGACGTCTCAAAGCATTTCACAGAATAAACTGTAAAGTGAATTGACTGTTTTGTAAGCGAAATGCGGCAGCCAATTGCACACAGCAGATACTGTATACACACCATATATACGTTTACACACACATACACACACATATATACATATAGATTGGCAATGGGGACCGCAAAAGGTGTGTTGGGTGTGACTTGCTGTTAATAATGAGGTGACAGATCCTCTCTCCACAAGTCTATGTTACCCCCTGTACAATAACCTATAAAGGGCATACAACAAACACAAGAAGCCAACTGGAAGGTTTAGCATAGACTCATTTTTTTATTGATTGTTCATTTCTTTTTTAAAGTATTTATTTTCAGCTACCAAAGTGCTCTTTCGTTATGTTTCACCATATAATTGCGGCAATGCCGCTCTTTTCCATAAGTGACATCAATTACAAATCCAACCATAGGACATCATAAATATGCAATGATAAAAATGAGAGAGGAGAGAAAAAAAAATCCATCCCAACAGATTGTGGCCGTGTTTTCTGGCACTACTTCACGTTCATTATATTTATTTATTTCTTTAAACAAAAGTATGGTGTAGTTTAGTGATTCAGGATTCTTCCAGATCATGTTTAGTCCCACGTCTGATTTCCCTTTTTAAATATATATACAGTAAATATTTACACACAAATTGTAATTCAAGTAATGAATAATTATTTCCCTTTGCCTGTTACCTGCAGATCTGTTACCCCCACGACTGTAAATCTATTTACCCTGAGACTTGGAAATGTGTGTTACTCTTTTTTTNACAGAAGACAGAGATACAACAATATTATAGCAATAATAATAAAAGACAAATAGAAATCTGTTCTGCTTTGATCAGACTGGTTCTACTAAGCACTACGTTAAAGTATTTTTTGCAGACAGACTGCGAGAAAAGGAATAAATAGAAAACAGACCAAACAATCCGTGGCACGAGTTCTTGTTTTGCAGGTTATTTCAAGTTCAAAGCGACCCTCTCATTTGTTTAAGTCGACTCCACTTT